CCTGCGCGGGGTGACGTGGTGCTTACTTCTGGCTTCGCCGTCCAGGAACTCGGACAGAGCCTTCTCCATCTCCTCGGCCGAGGGAAGGGGCGCTCCGAGCCAGAAGGTTTTAGCGCCGTCGTCGTCGGGACTAGATGGGGAGGGGCGGAGGGAGGCAAGGAGGACGAGGAGGACGGGGGAGAGGAGGAGGAGGGAGGAAGAGGAGGACCACGAGGCGGAGCAGGGAGAAGGAGAGAGAGGGAGGAGGGGGGAGGAAGATGGGGAGAGGGAGGAGGAGGAGGAGGAGGAGGAGGACGACGACGACGATAACGAGGAGTAGAAGGGAGAGGAGGCGGAGGAGGATGAGGAGGCCGTCCGCCCGCGCCAGCCGTCGATGGCAGACTTCATCGGACTCTCTGAGACCCAGGCTCCCGACGTCATGCACTTCCCATATCTACAATCAGCCGTATAATAACCGCACGATAAGGACGCAAGGACCTTGGAAAGCCATTTCGATACTTTGCGAACGGAGCGCGGCCAGCGAAAGCGGCCAAGGATGGGCCGAAAGGAAGGATGCAAGGGCAACCTTGGAAATTTGCTCATGCATACTCTGCGGGTTGACTGTACATGAACCCCCAGAGGTCTGGACCCATTCCCAAGGACCGGCTTTTCATCCTGGGCCGTTTTGTTGACCCCGCAAGAGCCCCGAGAATAAAAAACATTAAAAAACGTTCCGGTGACCTTGATACGACGCAAGCCTCGGAAGCGCGTCGGAGGCAGAAATGCGAGAAAACAGAAAACACATGAATTGTCCGTTGGTTGATTTGGGCCTATCGGCTTCCGGAGCCGTCGGGGGGCCTCTTGGATGCCCAGGAGGGGGGTGCCTGGGAATTGCTGAAACAGCGGAGTCGGCGGAGCCCCAGGTGGACGGGGCGAATTTGCTCACTACAAACATACATACATACATACATACATACATACATACATACATGCATGCATGCATGCATGCATGCATGCATGCATGCATGCGTACATACATACATACATAGATACATGCATGCATACATGCATGTATGCATACATGCATGCATACAGAGGTGCAAACATACATACATACATACATACATACATACATACATACATACATACATACATACATACATACACAAATGCATGCATACATATATACATACATACACCCATACATGCATGCATGCATACATACAGACATACGCACACGTACATGAATACATGCATAAGCATTCACACATACATACATACATACATACATACATACATACATACATACCTACCTACCTACCTACCTACCTACATACATACATACATACATACATACATACATACATATATACACGCATGCACGCACACATACGTACTTATATGCAACTGATTATACATGCATGTGTGCATGTATGTTTGTATGTGTGTACGTATGTATGTACAGAGTTAGTGACATTCGTATTAACATATGTACCAATATATCACTATATATGTGTGTATGTGTGTATGTCAGAATGTCAAACATGTAATACATAGATGTGTGCGGTTGCGTAGAAAATTATACAAATGTGCATATATGCATGTGCATATGTATGTACATGTATCTGGGCGCATGCATATACGTACGTTAATGTGTATAGCCGTGAATGTAAATTCAAATGTGAATGTATGTGTATATCATTGGGAATGTTTAAAACACGTATGAGTAAATGAATATGGGTATGTATGTGTATGTGTATGTGTACATATATACACATGTATATAAGTGTGTACATGTACGTATATACACACACATATATAGATATACACCCCGCAGTTGCGGATGAGTGAGGGGGCGGCGGGGACGTCGGCAGTCTGCGATCTGCGAGGCTCCGAAAAAGAAAGGCGCAGGGGACGCCAATCGTTTTTAAAGCAATCTGGACGGGTCGCGGGGTGGGTCGCGGGTGGGTCGTGGGTGGGTCGGGTGGGTCGCAGGTGGGTCGCGGGCTGGGTCGCGGGTGCGTCGCGGGTGGGTCGCGGCTGGGTCGCAGGTGGGTCGTGGGCGGGTCGCGGGGCGGGTCGCGGGGTGGGTCGCGGGTGGGTCGCAAGCCGGGTCGCGGGTGGGTCGAGGGTGGTTCGCGGGCCAGGTCGCGGGGGGGACGACGACAACAACCAACAAACAACAAACAACAAACAGCCAGCAAAAAACAGCAAACAACAAAGAACGAATAACGAAGAACAAACAACAAACGAAAAACGAAAAACGACAAACAACAAACAATAAACAACAAACGGCAAACAACAACCAAACAACAACAAACAACAAACAACAAACAACAAACAACAAACAACAAACAACAAACAACAAACAACAACAGCAACAACAACAACAACAACAACAGCAGCAACAGCAACAGCAGCAACAGCAACAGCAGCAACAGCAGCAGCAACAACAACAAGGCATCAACGCCTGTGTGTGCCCCTCCCCACCCACGAAGGGGGGGCAGCAGCCAGCAGCCAGCATCCAGCATTCATACACACACCTAACGGCCCTGCCTTCGCCAAACGATCGCGTGCTGGCGAAGCAACGCTTCTGTCTGCCTCCTCTGGTGGCAAGCATTCACGGATGGATGGAGCCCTGATAGCATCCTATTAAGAATGGGTAGAACTCTAGGGGGTCCTGTTAGGAGTGGATGGAACTCGTACAAGATCCTGTTATGGATGGATGGAACTCTAGGCGATCCTGTCAGGAGTGGACGGAACGCTTATGGGGTCCTGTCAGGAGTGGATGGAGCTCGAATGGAATCCTGTACAGGATGGATGGAGCTCTACAAGGATCCTGCTAGGGATGGATGGAGCTCTAATAGGATCCTGATCGGGAGCGGATGGAACTCTACTAGGATCCTGTTAGGGATGGATGGAGCTCTAATAGGATCCTGTTCGGGAGTGGATGGGGCCCTACTAGGATCATGTTAGGGATGGATGGAACCTTGGGGGGTCCTGGTAGGAGTGGATGGAACTCTTATAGGATCCTGTTGGGGACGGATGGAACTCTTAGGGGGTACTGTTTTGAGTGGGTGGAACTCTTATAGTATCTTGTAAGGGATGGATGGAGTCTAAGAGGATCCTGCTAGGGATAGATGGAGCTCTAGCAGGATCCTGTTAGGGATGGAGCTATACTAGGACCCTGTCAGGGGTGGATGGAGCTCCAATTAGATCCTCTTAGGGATGGATAGGGATGGATGGAGCTCTAATATGATCTTCTTGGTGATGGATGGAGCTCTCATCGGATCCTGTTAGGGATGGGTGGAGCTCTAATTTGTCCTAGTGGGGGTGGATGGAGCTCTACTAGGATCCTGTCAGGGATGGATGGGGCTATAATAAGATCCGAGTGGGGGGTGATGGAGCTTTTCTAGAGTCGATACGAGCCAATGGAAAAAATGAACCAATACGAATCAATACGAATCAATACGAATCAATACGAACGCGTGAGAAAAATAAGAACCAATAGGGATCAACAGAGATTAATCGAAACCATTGGGAACCAATAAGAATTGATTGGAATCAGTTGGGAACCTTGGGGGCAAATTAGAACCAATGTGGAACAATTAAAACCAGTAGGAATCAGGTAGAATCAAGTAGCATCAGTTACAACCAATAGCAACAAGAACCTGGGATAATCAATTCGGAATCAATTAGAACCAAAGGGAATCAATGAGAACCAGTAAGAATCAATCGGAGTCACGTTTAATCAATGAATCAATTGGAATCAAAAATACCAATGAGACCTGGCAGGAACCATTGAAACCAATAGGAATACATTCGAATATATTCGAATCAATGAGAATCAATTGGGATCAATGGGAATCAATTAGAAGCAATAGGAATCAATGCGGATCAATAGAGATCAATTAAAATCGATAAGAGACATTGGGAATCAATTTAAATTAGTATGAATCAAATTGTATGAATTGGATTCGATAGGAACCATTGAGAATCAATGAATCAGTTAGAAGCATCCGAAATCAATTAGAATCAATGGCGACCCGTAAGGATCAAAAAGTATCAATGGGAACTAAAAAGAATCTAGCAGAGCCAATGGGGATCAATAACAATCGAACACAATGAACTGGAATCAACTAGAATCAATCAGAACCACTTAGAAACATGACGAAACATTTGGGACCAATAGGAAACGATTAGAAACAATGAGATTCAAATAAAACCACTGAGAATCAATTCGAATCACTACGCCTCAATTAGAATCAATGAGAACCAATTACAACCGATGGGAACCGATTAGAAACAATAAGAACCGATTGAGATCAATTAGGATCAATTGATATCATCAGGAACCAATTAGAATACATAATAACAAATTAGAACCAATAAGAATCAATCGGACTCCACTAGCATCGTTAGGCAACAATCAGAACCAACAAGAATCAATGAGACCCAACAGGAATCAAGAAAACCAATAGGGATCAATCCGAACCAATGGGAATCGGTGAAAGCCAATTAGATCCAATGGGAATCAATTAGAATCAATAATAATAAACGGGGATCAAAAGACATCAATTAAAATCGAGAAACGTCAATGGGAATCAATTCAAATCAACAAGAATCAAAAGGGATGAATTGGATTCGATAGGAATGAATGAGAACCAACGAATCAATTAGAGTCAATGGGAACCATTTAAAACCAATGGGAATCAATTAGAATCCATGGCGGTCAGTAAGAATCAACTGTAATCACTGGGAAACAATGGGAATCTAGTAGAGTCAATGGGGATCAATAATAATCAAATATAATCAAATGGAATCAACGAGAATCAACCGGAATGAATTGGGAACATGAGGAATCAAGGACAATCAATAGGAATCAACGAGAATCAATAGGAATCAATTGGAAGCAATGAGGAATCAATGACAATCAATAGGAATCAACGAGAATCAATAGGAAACAACTAGAAACAATGAAACTCAAATAAAACCACTAGGAATCAATTCAAATCAATACGGATCAATTAGAATCACGGGAAATCAAATAGAACCACTGGGAATCACTTAGAACCAATAGGAATAAATAGAAATCAGTGAGGATGAATTGATATCAACAAGAATCAATTGGAATGGTGCCACGAAACGCGTGAAAGGTGCACCGCAATGAGCCCGAGGCGTCCCGTGGAGACCCCTCGTGGGGCCTCGAAACGTGTGAAGGATGCTCCGAAGTGGGCCAGGGGCGTCCCGTGGAGACCCCTCGTGGGGCCACGAAATGTGTGAGGGGTACCCCGAAATTGGCCCGAGGCATCCCGTGGAGACCCCTCGTGGAACCACGAGACGTGTGAGAGGTACCCCGAAATTGGCCCGATGCATCCAGTGGAGACCCCTCGTGGGGCCACGAAACGTGTCAGGAATGCTCCGAAATTGGCCCGTTGGCGTGGGCGTGGGCGTGGGCTTGCGCGTGGGCGTGGGCGTGGGCGTGGGTGTGGGTGCGGGCGTGGGCGAGGGCGTGGGCGTGGGCGTGGGCGTGGGCGTGGACGTCGGTGAGGGTATGGGTGCTGGCCTGCTGCCAGCTCTCCCCGGGCGTGAGCGTGGACGTCGGCGTCGGTGTGGGTGTGGGTGCTGGCCTGCTGGCCTGCTGCATGAAACTACATGAAACCCACACGACAACCAGCGCCACCTATGTCAAACCAAGTTCCTCTCCTCCCCCTTCGGCTCGTCCAATGCCCGAGGCTCTGCTATGATGAACCGTGCGCGCGCCCTCCCCGACAACCGCGCGCGGTGGGGTTGCCCGCAGGAGAGCAGCGGCCCACCGCAACGCCCGTGTTCTGCTGGGGGGAGCCTGCAGAGAGTCCTCCCTCCGCGCAGTGTTCGGCGCCCTGGCCTCTTGCAGCGTGTGGTTTTTCGACACACTCCCAAAAAAGGATTCGGCACCGCCGGTGTCCGCTGGTCGTGAAAGTAAAAAGAGCCGCCACCACCAATGGAACTCCATAGAACTCCGTTCCCAAAGGACCCCCCCCGGGCTGGTGGCACTCCGTCCTGGGCACTCTCTGGGACGCGCCCAGAACGGGGTGCCGCAAACTGGGGAGGGGGAGGGGCGGCCAGCTCCCCTAGCTGGTGGTGATAATGATGATGTTGTTGATGGTGATGCTGATGATGTCGATGATGCTGATGACGATGACGATGATGAAAATGAAGAGTATGATGAGGATGATGATGACGATGATGCGGACGATAAGGATGATGCTGATGATGATGATAATGCTTATGCTGATGATGACGATGATGAGCACGATGAGGATGATGCGCACGATGAGCATGAGGATGATGATGCTGATGATGATGATGATGATGATGATGATGATGATGATGATGATGACGATGACGATGGCGATTATGGTACTGGTGGTTCTTCTCTGGCGAACTTGGTTTTCCCAAAGCCGTTTCGGGGCGGCATGTCCCATGTTTCAGGGTCACCCCTGCCGGCGCGATCCCGGTCTCTGCGCGTGCCTCCGCGCGTGCCTGGGCCCTTGCCAGAGACCCCTCGCGCACGGGCCTCGGGGCGGCAGGAATCCAAGCCACCCCCATTGCGCGATCCGCGGATCAGCACTTGCAAGATTCCCCTCGGGGAGACGGCAGCCCTCGTCTCTGGGAGGCGACCAGAGGCGCGCGACTCGGGGCGACGGTGAGCCGAAAGCCTCTTTGGCCGACAGGACAAAGATCGGCACCGCAACCTCTCGACGCGCCGGGCGAACCGACGCCAGCAAACCGATTTGGCGCCCGAGCTCACCGAGCGCCGCGAGCACCAAACGCGATGAGTACACCCAACGCGTTTTGCGCCGGCGGCGCTGGCACAACGACAGCGAGACTTCTGACCAAGCACAAACCAAGACCAGCAGGAATAGCCAAAATCAAGCGCTCCTGACAATCTCTTCTTCGTCAGAAAGAGGACAAGAGCAAAAAGGCGGAGGCGAGGCAAGCCGAGCCTTGGAGGAATGCCCCGAGGCCACTGGAGGCGTGCCCGGAAAAGAAGGGCCTGGCGCCCCAGCGAAGGGTCCTGCGCGCTCGTCGTCTTCTGGTCGTCCCAGCCCAGCAGCAGCTGCACGGCCAGGAACCAGTCCTGGCTTCCCCGCACTGCGACTCCCTGCCGATCATTTTTCCGATGTTCCTCCTCCTCCTCCTCCTCCTCCTCGCCCACCTCCTCCTCATCATCATCACCATCACCATCATCATCATCATCATCACCATCATCATCATCATCATCATCATCATCATCATCATCATCACCATCAGCATCAGCATCAGCATCAGCATCAGCATCAGCATCAGCATCATCATCATCATCATCATCATCATCATCATCATCATCATCATCATCATCATCATCATCATCATCATCATCATCATCATCATCATCATCATCATCATCAGCATCATCATCATCATCATTTCATCAGCATCGTCTCATCATAGCGTCCTTTTCCTCCTCCTCCCCCTCCTCCAACTCCTCTCCTCCCTCCCCTCTCCTCCTCCTCCTCCTCCTCCTTCCTCCCTCCCTCCTCCTCCTCCTCCTCCTCCATCCTCCTGCTCCTCCTCTTCCTCCTCCTCCTCCTCCTCCTCTCCTCCTCCTCGCCCTCCTCCTCCTCCTCTCCTCCTCCTCCTCCTCCCTCCTCCTCCCTCCTAAGCCCCTCCCTCCCTCCCTCCTCCCCTCCTCGTCCTCCTCCCCCCCCTCCCTCCCCCTCCTCCCCCCTTCGCCCCCGCCCCCTCCCCCTCCCCCCACCCCGTCCCCCTTCCCCTCCCCCTCCCTCCCCCTCCCCCCCCCCTCTCTCCTCCGCCTCCTCCTCCTCCTTCGCCTCCTCCTCCTCCTCCTCCTCCTCCTCCTCCTCCTCCTTCCTTCTCCTCCTCCTTCTCCTTTTCCTTCTCCTCCTCCTCCTCCTTTTTCTCCTCCTCCTCCTCACTTACACCATTACACCATTCAAAGTCTGCCCCGAGCACGCTCACAGACAAACAGGCAACGCAGAAGCCTGGACTGAGAGGCGCCTGAAAAAAAAGGACTAGGGGATCGAGGGAACGTGGATAGGCCACGGGTCTGAAATCTTGCGCTGAGACCCCGGGACTTCACCCGTCCACAGCTGCCTGAGGTCCTTGAGGGAAGATGGGGCAAGGTGGCACGCCCCCTTGAACTAAACTGCTCTCGCGGTGCCCATATGCCCACATCTCCCGCTGAAAATGAAAGGAACTTTCGACTTGGCAATCACCGCGGCCCATAGGAAATGAGGAAACCCACGTCCCGCAGCCGTGGTGACCGATTCCCCCAAAGACGGGCACAAGTTGAAGCACCTAGAATTGACCAACAGGCGCGCACCAGACCTATGACACTGCCTGCACCTCCAGCGGACTCCGCCCCAAGCGGGGTCGTGAGGCCTCGGGGGGGAGGGGGGGCACGAGCCCTGCGCGGCCTGATCAAAGCTCCATAGAGATCCGCCAAGGGCGGCCACCCCACTAGGACCTGCAGCATATGCATGCCGACCTTCTTATAAAGCTTGCGAGCGTCGGCGAAGGCTTTCAGATCGGCCTCGCACATACCACTGGATCTAGCGGCCACCTTCGCATGATGGTCACTGTCACCCAACATGTCGCCTCCGAGCTGGCAAAGCCCCCACTACTGGTGGCCTGCTCTTCTTGTCGGCGAGCCTTGACCCTGACGCGCAGGAAGGAGGGCTTGCCAGTTATTCTCCAATACCCAGCGCGCGGCGACGAGCGGCGCTTGGTCAACAGGTGGCTCGCGGCTCCCCACACAACAGCGGCACAGTCAGAATGGAGAACAACTCCGAGACCAGCACTACATCAAAGGCTGCTCCCGAGTGGGTTACAAGGGGTCAGGGGCTTCCAAAACCCGCTGAAACACGCAGGCGGCGCGGCGCTCGGCGGCCGAACGAACGAACGAACGAACCGCCACCATCGCGCCGGAGCGCGCCCCTCGGGGGATGGGCGGAAATGGGCCGCAGCCCTCAGAAGTTGGAGCGCTCGTAGTAAACTTACCGATAGCAGCAAAAATCCTTTCCCATGTCTCTCCACCACTTGTGATTTGTAGCAACGCGTAGCCAATTTGTCCCATCTACATCATATCCAGCATTCAAAAGAAACTGCAATATCTCGGGGCCCCGTCCGGCACAGGCCCGCTGATTCCCTGGACTAGATGCCCTTCGGCCATCACTTCTACCACCGCCCACCTAGCTCGAGCGACTCCTGGAGTTGCACCATCGTAGCAACCCCCATCAGTATAGCACCTTCGACCAGCCCCACTGAAGTCAATATATATATATGTATATATATATACATAAAAACAACAATAATAACAAAACAAAAAATAATAATAGTAATACTAATAATAATATATTTTTATTTATATATATATATATATATATATATATATATATATATATATATATATATAACAAACAAAAAAAAAAAAAAAAAAAAAAAAAAAAAAAAAAAAAAAAAAAAACGAGGGCTCTTCAAATGCCAGAGGGGGCGAAACCCAAAGGGGGGAGATGAGGGCATCTCCATGCCCGTGGTGGAGGGCCATGGTCCCAATTATATCGCCCTGGCCTTCGCGTTAAGCCTCAAAACTCGGACGCCCCAGGCTCGGTGAAAATCGAATCTGGCGCCCCGCGTCTTGGGCAGCCCCCGTCAGTCTGGCACCCCCATCTGTGGAGCGCCAGGCCTGCGGGGTACCCATCCGAAAAGACCTGCACAAACACACCTTGAAACATCTTGGGAAACGTCTTGCCATTGAGCAGTCTGCGCGGGCCCAGGGACCAATTCCATTGGTTGCGAATCTCCTGGGCCCAGGGGTCGGTGGACTGAGCTAGAGCCCTAGACGCAGCAGGCTGCCAACATCGTTTCTTCAGATGCTGGATGAATCTCGCAGCAATGCGCTTTGGCGGGGCGGCAGCCGGGCGACGACGCGCCCCGCCTGCCCCAATAAATACCCCAACCAGCCCCCTTCATCCACAAGTTCATGTCAGACAGGGGGCCCGAAACTCGCTTCCTCCAGGAGGCGTCTAACGCATCTACGAATTCGCCGATGGCGGAGTGGAAACTCCTGAACAATTCCCGGGCGGTGAGTCCATCCCCTTACAAGATCTGCGTCCGACGCCTGCCACCATTCCTTCGCATGCCGCTGCAGCGTCGCCGCTGCCTCGCCCATCGGGCCCTCGTCGGGGCACAGACCCCGGCCAACATCTAGAGCGCCACCCAGGAAATCCAATGCCCTGGCCCCAGCGCGTCTCAAGACCAGCATCCCTGACGGCGCATGTCCAACCACCTCGCCCCCATATGCAGCAGCGGTCTAAATCCCTGCAGAATTAATGCTCGCTTTCGCATACCGAGACCCTCTCATACCTGCCAACTCACTCATGCAATGCTTGATGCAGGTACGTTGTTTCCTTCTCACTCGCCCATGTCCTGCTTTAGCCCGATACGAGCCCGGCGAAAAATCCACGCTCAAATTGTCGACTGCCACTTGCCCCCCCCCCTGCAAGATCGCCCATGGATGCGCCCCGGGCTGCAACGAAAAGCGCAGACGCCCCAGCGCGCGTAAACTTGTCAATGGCCAGCGGCGCCCCCATCAAATCATGCGCCAGCCTGGCCAAGGCCGTTGCCTTCTGCCGCGTAGACTGCGCACGGGAATAGAAGGATGGGGCCGCCACATGCAGCCCGAAGTCGTCGATATGCAGCGCGAGCGCTCTCGACCCGACATCCGACGCATCCTCGACATTGCGCCCATGCCAAGTATTGTTGGCCCATGATAAGGTGCACGCCTTCACCTCCAATGTCGCCGTGGTCGCGCCCGCAATCACACCCCGCTTCGCAAATATCCGATCAGAGGCCAGCCCATCTAGTGAAATTATCCTCAGCAACTTGCATGAATGCAGGCTGCGCTGTGTCGCCGCAATTGGGCGCTCAACATCTTTCGCAATCTGCCGCGTTCGGTCGCGCCGGACGCGTTCATAAAATTGCCGGGGAGCCCGCGACACAGAGGAAATTTGATGCCCACCGCTAGCGAGTGCTTCTCCACGCGCCGCCTGTCTCCACACAGCAACAAGAGGTCCCCGACCTGGCCCCACGCCGAAGGTTGGATGATCAGACAACCCACACACACACACTTTTCTGATCGGCGGGACGAGAGCGAACCTCTTCCGCCAAAAGCTAGGCGGGCTACGCACAGCTTTTAATCAGGAAGACAGGGCGCAGGAAGGCGGGGCCTCAGGCGGCCGGAGTGGGCGAAGCCCAGGGGAGCAGGCGGTGCCGAAGTGGATGCGCAGGAGCAGGTGCGCCAAGGACTGGCACCGGGGGCGAAGACCCGGAGGGTGGAGGAGAAGGCGTCGCCGTCGACGGCGCATCGCGAACACCAGCATCAAGCGCTGCAGAGGGGGACGCGCCACTTGACCAGGTCGACGCCCAGGAAGAAGAGGAGCACCACGAAGGCGATGTGCAACGTTGCGCCACCGGGTGATGCGGAAGAGGCCCGGGGTGGCAGTCCAATCTACGACCAGGTAGCAGCTTGCTTGAGGAACGGTCTCAGACGGGGGGGCCGTTCATGACCGACAGGATGTCGGTGGACTGCAGGGGGCAAACCTGCCCTGCACCGCCAGCGCGTGAAGACGGGCAGCAGCCACACACGATGCGCTGACATCCGCATTGCCGAGGGCCGGGCCTGAGCCGCGCAGCGCCATGGCGGGCGAGGCCGCCGAGGCGGCAAGGCGCAGCGCCCGGCACCAGGCCGAAGCCGCGCAGTGCCGGGCGCCGCCGCCACGGGAGGGGGGGAAGCGAGCGGGGGGGAGAAGCGAACAGGAAGGAGAAAGGCCGGCGCACACCGCCAGCCGTCGACGTGCCAGTCCGCACCGCAGGTGCTCACGCAGGGGGAGCTGGGCCCCCGATGGGTAGAGGTAGGACAAACGGTCCCAGCACCCGTTAAAGACAAGTGCGGGGGGGGGGAGCAGGTACAGTCGGGGGCCAGGTGGGCCAGCAAGCAGGCGCTGCGAGTGGACCGCGCTCGTCTCAAGTGCGCCGCTACTGCGCCCGTCAGGCTGCGCGCGCCTGCACCGCGCACCC